GCAGCGATCGTGCCCCGGGGAGTCGCACAGTTTTGCGTCTGAAGCATAATTTATGAGTTTGGGATGAGCTTCTCCCAGCAAACGCAGGCTCCGGAGGTAATCTCCCTGCCCAGACAAAGGGCATGAACCTCGCAAAAGCATCCAACACACGTACAACCTCCCCACCAAGAAACAAAGCACCCAGCTTTTAAGCAAACCAAATACTCTTTCTTTCTTTTTTTTGCCTTTTTTTTTTTCCTCCCAGTCACTGCCTGTGTTTAGCCGCAAAATACAATAGCTGCTCTTTCTGAAGACAGAGAGAAGAGGGATGGTGGGTCTTATCTTTAAATCATGAGCCTTTGCTGAGGACAAGCCACCTCTTCAGCGAGGAAGCAAGCTGGGCTCGCTCAGCCACGCAGACTTTTTCACGCGGGCCAGATCCTATTAACCCAAATGCCTCTCAAACTGAGCTCCGCCTATCCCATTAATTAGTTTAAACCACAATAATTTTAAGATATCAAAACTTTGAGGGGATTTGGTCGCCGTTTGGCTCGTTTCACCCCACCCGTCTTTGCACGGTTGAGGCGATAACCCACGAACGGGGACACGGGCAGACACAGGGGTGCGTGGGCAGAGACGGGGGGCAGAGGATGCTGCGAAGGCGACGGCTCGCTGCCCGGTTAGCGGGAGGTCAGTCGGGTTAGGGAGAAGGGGGTTAAACCGTGAAGGTCTCCAGAAGCCAGCGTTGACTCACCACTGTACATGTCAGTGTGATTTCGTAAAGACGTTTCGTTATGGGGTTTCTCTGCAATAAACAAAAGACCGTGAGCATATCGAGTGCCACAAAGCGTGCGGGGTGGAGGGAGGGCAGGCGAGGCGGGGGGCACAGAAAACAAAATAACTTCCCAAAACACAAGAGCAACGCGGACAGGCAACAGCAGGGGTACAAAAGCACTCTGGGCACAGCTGCCTTCCAGGACAAACAACATAACACAGCAATAAAGGAGAGGAAAAGAGGACTGTTTTCCTCCTACAAGATGGGAAGACAAATAAATGTATGAAAATTGTATCATAAACATTTCCTTGAAGCGTTTTTCTTTTCGGTATAAACACATTTGTCTCTTTGGGAGAAAAAAAAAAAATCAGTTCAATTTGGAGAAGAAAATGTTTTTTCTCTCAGTTTCTTAACTACGAGGGAAACATATTCCAGCTACTTTTTCCAAGCATAAAGTATAGGTTGGACACAGCTAGGCAGCAGTGTAACGATGCAGAAAGGCATGGTAAAGATGAACAAATAAAAATAAGAATAAAAATTGGGCTCTAAAAGCATAATCTGCTGTAAAATCCCTTTTAATGACAAGGTAATTAAAGTAGATGGTGTTACATGCAAAATACCAGCTTTTCAATAACAACTGCCACCAGCCATCACTGATACTTGAAGAAGAAAGCTAACGGCCACCGGCGCTCTGCGAGGAGGCAGGGGATGCGGCAAGGGATGCCAGCCCTGGAGGGATCCTGGCAGATCTGCCCTCCTCAGCTCCCACCGTTACCCAAAATACCGGTTTGGTGTCTGAGAACGCCCTGGTTTCCATCAGGATGTGGCACAGCCCTGTTACGGCATCATCTGCCCAACAGGAGATGCGAGAGGCTATGTTGGCTACCATATAGCTGTTGCCCTGAGCCTGAACCCCCCCCACACACACCCCGGCTCCGCGCAAAGGGGGTTAAGAGAGCCCAGCAGATGCCCAAGAGCTTCCTGACCCTGGGTACACCAGAGAAACTCCCTGCAGGGAAAGGCACGGGTGTATCGCTCCCCCAAGCCTTTGCATTTTTCTCTTCTTCCATCCAAGAGCATGGTAATCCCATGCAATGATTTTTCAGCAGGCGGTGAACTATTTTTTAAGGACAGCCAATGCTCATGGCTTAAGGCTGAGATGATCGAACAGCTTGAGACAAACACAAGCTCGTCTCCTTGGAACACTGTCTGTATAAAGAATTTCTTCTAACAGATGAGAAATTAGAGTCTCAGTTCTTTAAATTATAAAGGCCTCCGGGGGGCTCGTGGAGTGGCATTTGCGTCTGGTAATACAGCAGACGTTTCCAAAGGAAAACTTAAAAAGAGGGTCCAGTATAATTGGAAGCCAATTCTACAGAGCCTGGGAGCAAAACGCGATGGTGGCACCTGAATGTAGCAGGAGGGGGAGCTTGTATCTATCTGCACAGAAACCTTCCAGGATTTCTTCCACATTTTTTCCAGAGCTTGACAAATATGTCAGGCTGGAGCCTTTGGAGGCTCAAATGACCACAGATCTTTGTTCGCCAGAATTTCTCCAGCTCACGCTAATTTAGGACTCAGTCCTTCCCTTACAGGTAAACGTTGACATTGTTTGGCCAGACCACTGGAATTCGGAATGACCGACCTACACACATTCCTCGCCACCGGCAAGGAGCCTGTTCCTGGCGTTTATATCCCCGATTCTCCACTCGTGCTTTGCACGGGGGAGAAGCCGTTACAACGAAAGTGCAAAACACTCCCGGCCCCGCCTGCTTCTCACATCACTTTCAGGTCACTTTAATAGCGTTAACTTCTAATTTAAGCTGCTGTGGGATCAAATTAAGTTCCGAAGGCTGGGATTCAGGAGCACCTCATGTCAAGAGCCTGCTCCCTAAAACACAGCCTTGCATCTGCCACCACACACTACCCCTTCTTCCCAGTCAGACCTTACTGGGAATGGGAGACAGGTCCTCGCTGATAACTGGGGCCCATAGATGCTATTTCTGTGTCCACTGCCGATTGTGCCGGCGCTCTGTGCACCCCCCCCAAAAAGAGAGCCCAGGCTCTGCAGGACCTGCATCAACTGAAGAGCTTCGTACCCTGCAGCACTCGGCTCGGTTGGCCTCTGCCAGCATCCCCACCAGTCAGCTGGCATGAAATGCGTTAGCATCGCAAACTCAGCTTCCTTCAAGCAGTCTTGTTTCTGGGGAAGAGACTGGACCTGCCAAGTGGCTGGACCTGCCCAAGGAAAAGCTCTTCGTGTGCCTGGAGAGAGCCATGCATGTGCTTCCTCCTGTCCCTCAAGACGATGCTCTTTACCATGGTGAAACCGAGATTGCCGGCCATCCTCAGCATGTCCCACGTGTACACACTCAGACCCCAAAGGCTGCTGCCAGCACGTCCAAGAGCAAAGGAGCTAGATAGCAGCTCCTGCTCCGGAGGTAAATCCTGAGCTGTGCAAGGCTGACGCACACTCGGTCCCCCTGTGCAGCACCAGCACGTAAACCTAAGCCTGGAGCAAACCAAGGCTATTTCCAGCTTTTCAAACGAGGGAAAGATCACTTGATATTATACATTTCCCTAAGGATGGGAGGAATGCCCCATCTATGTTGAAATATTTTCCAGTTTATCCCAGACACGTGGACTTAGCGATACCTGCACCAAGCTACCTCTGCAACCCTCAACCCATGAAGTTGCAAAATTCTGAGATGCTGGAGGGAACCCAGCCACCCCTCCGTGCCAGGTTAGCCGTCCAGAGGACTACCATTGCTCATCCAAACTGGTTCTTCCACTATCCTAAACAAAACGAAGGAAGCCACTCTCCTCCCTGATAGGTCTCAGTGCTGCCAAGGACAGAACCAAGGTGTCTGGAAGGAAAACCCTGCCCAAAAGAGGCCAAGGAAGACCCATCCCGAGCGATAACCGTGACACTTACTGGTTTTCACCTTGAGGGTGTAGGGGTTTTTCTGCTGAATGGTGTGGGTGAAGTGGAAGCGTGCATTGCAGCTGTAGTCGGTCTGGGCATCCCGCAGCATGACGTTGGAGAAGTACAGGTCACCGTTCTGGCCCTGGGAGACCCGTTTGTCCTGGTGGATGGGCTCCATGGCTGCAGGGGGAACAGGCATGCAGAGCAAGTCAGATCCTCCCGTGGGTGCCCGCATAAAGGAGAAAAGCAAACCCCGGACCCAAGCCACGTACGGGTGCCTCCAAGCTCTGACCTAGCAGTAACGACCCTAAACGTATTTTAAATAAACACAGCAGGTGAAGGAAAGGCTGCCCACGGGGTTTGAGGTGGGAAGGGGGTTCCCTCGACTCACAGCTGCTCATCCAGAAGATGACGGGCGGAGGCAGGCCAGGCGGTGGGTTGCACTGCAGACTGAGCGGAGCACCTTCATCCACCTCTACCACATCCACCTTCTCCTTGGGCCACAGGGGAGACTCTGCCGTAAGAAGTAAAGACACCGTGTGAGGAAGGGAGGAGGGCAGTAACTTTGCAGATCTCTTCCCGCTGGATCTGGCCTGGTTTCAATGGAGCGGCCTCAATGCAAACTTCATTTCTGTGTGTGCAAGGCTCCCTTAAATCCATACCGAGTGTCTCCCTGTTAGCTGCAGCCGTAACCCCCATGCCTGGGGCTGGATACATCCCAACACAGGTAACAGCCGAAGCAGGCTGAGATGTTTGAGCACCGACTATTCTCCATGCCTCTTCTACAGAATCTCATAGGATGCAAATAGTCCCTGCTCCCCCCGGGGCCGCTGGCTGCGTGCTCTGCTCCACTGCCGTTACTCACTCGAAACCTGGAGGTGGATTTTGCTGGAGAGGGCAGTGCCGTAGTCATTCCGGGCGAAGCACTGGTACTCGCCCTCATAGTCCTCCGCCCGTCCCCCACTGTGGAAGTCGATGACCAGCGTCCCCGACCGTCGCCGCATGGACACCTTGGGGTCCTTCGCCACATTGAAGAACTTCCCGTTCCGCGTCCAGGAAAAACTGCAAGCACAGGGAAGAGAGGTTGGGTTTGTAACCACGGACCATATTTACCAGTGAGGTCCTTACCTGTGCTGTGCAAGCCAACAGCTGGATTAGCTGGGGGTGTAAATGGCACAGCTCGACCGGAGGGGAGCTCCTCCGGAGCTAAGGAACAGCAGAGCTGCAGTGTAACACGGGCGGGAGATGCACTTACGTGGGAATAGGGTTCCCTTTGCCTTCACATTCAATCAAGATGTTATCCCTTGGGTCAACGATGTAGTCCTTCATGGACTGCTTGGTGATTGTGGGGGGCTGAGGCACTGCAAAGCAAACGAAAAGCCGTGAGGAGAGTCGTGCAAAGAGGGTGAATCCCTTCTCTGCCATCCTGCAGCAGATCTTGGTGGGATTTCAGCTTCTTCCCCAGGCTGGATGTGCAATTTGCGGTTTAAAGCCCTTCAACTCTTGAGAAAATTACCACTAGCATTTGTGGGGGTTTGCTGCTCATCACCTCTCGGACCATCAGCACTGCTCACACTCCTGCTCGATACCGGGAAGCCCCTGTTTCTCACTTGGTATCTTGGTCTCATTAAGAAATGTCACGGTTACATCTTCCTGCTACCACCAGTTGTTTGAATCAGACCGAAAGGCATCCTGGCTGTGCACCTCAAAGACAGGGGCTGCAGCGGGGACAGGGAGCCAGAGAGCCACTGCAAGACATTTACAGGCACTCCCTGTGCAAGAAAGGGGCTCAAAACCTCCCAGGTTTACCCCAAAGGAGCGCAGCACTGGTGTTCGTAAGGACAGGGCTTGTGAGAAGGGGCTCAGGAGCCCGGCAGCCAGCGTGGGACCTGAACTCTGAACATCAGCTCAGTCCCATGGCTGTCCTGGAACGAAGCCGCTCAGGTCCGAGGATGTTTGCTCTTCCCCCGAGAGCTAGCCATGCTGCAAACGGGTCGGTACGTGGAGCTGAGCTTGGCAGACGTGCTCGTGCAAGGCAGAGGACCCTGCTCTCCTCCGAGATGTGGCATTAGCAATAACAAGCCCCTGCAAAAACGGTATTTTGCAGGCTCCAGCACCTCCCGTGTCTCTCCCCGCCATGCCAGGCTGTGCAGAAGTGGCTTGTCCTGACTCCGGCCAGCCCGGCCACCCCCCGACACCCCGTGCCAAGCGACAGCCACCACCGGCCCCCTGCTTGGGCCAGATCCCTCGTGCCCTGTTTCAGTCGTGCAGAGGAGATGGACACGTACACAAAGGGGGCGAGGGCAACACTTACATTCACTCTGAATATTTGCTGTTATTCCCAAGGTGCAAGCATGATGAAAAAAAGAAAAAAAAGGTTAATTGAAGAACAAACCCATACACACAAAGATGAACGTACCTAGTTACTATAGGGCTTGCAAATACTACACAGAAATGGTTTTACAATTCAAGCATGTTCTAATCTACCTACTTACTGGCCGCGTGGGAGAAGCTGCCTCTGAGCGGTCCCGTTAGCCGTCAATGGCCTCTGCAGCTGGGGTTTTTAGGCCAAAAGAGAGCACAGGGTGCCTGGATGGGCTTTGGTGTGCTCACACCACTAACCTGCAGGCGCTGGTGGCCCCACGGTCCAGTGGGTCACGCACAGCGGTTAGCAATGTTCCCCCCTTCCCTATGGCCAAGCTTACCCTGAGCCCCCCCCAGTTTCATCCCCCTGAGTCAGGGGCGAATACATGCCTGATAAACTCTTCGCTGGCTTTTTAGGTGATGCTCAAACTCGGACAAGGTGCCTGTAACATAGGGAGATATATACCTCCTGTCCCCAGGACAAGGGCTGGCAGGATTTTATCTGAAGAAGAAAACTTGTTAGGGTTGGGGCAGGAAAAAGCGCCTAGGCAAGCTTAAAAGTAAGAGCAAATAGCGCAGCTCCCCCCAACACAGGGTGAGTGAGGGGACCCTGAGGCTTTGCCCACACATCTGCCCTCTCCTGAGCTGCTTCTGCCCTTAAAACCTAAGGGCTGGGGAGCAAAACGCCTCCCTGGGGAGGTCTCTGACCCCCGAGGTGTGTCAGCAAGGGCAGCTGGATGCCCACCAGCATCTCGACCCCCACCCCAGCACGGAGGCGAAGGAGCTGATCTCCGTGGAGTAGGAAGGACTTTCACAAGCAGTCGTACGTGGAGGATAGGGCTCACACACTCACAGAGCCTGGGATTTGCATGTTTGTCAGCCCCTGCACAAAGCCGGAGCAGCTGGGGGTCTTTACACACCACCTGGTCAAACCTGGAGCCGCTGGGAGTGCAGGCGATGCTTTCATTAGCTCAGTCTCACAGAGGAGCGGTGGGTAAGGGAGCTCTGATCACCAGGCGGTTTAAATAGGAGCTGAAAACAAACCCCTGATGGCTCTGAAGGTCGGGATGGAAGTAAAACAATGCTGATGCTCCACGTGTCCAAAAGAGCTAAGGGAGGTTGGGAAGGGTTGGCTGGCGGGGACGGGCATCGGCAGGATCCCTCACCCTCACCCAGAGCTGGGAGATGCTCCTCACCCACCTGCTCTTGGCACTGCTGCGTGCAACTGCCTCTGTCCATGTTATTGACAAATATCTGTCGTGCAAGGGTCCCCGTTCAAGAAAGCATGACAAAAGGACACTCTTAGTTACCATCCCAGTTTCCCACCAGCACTGGAGGGGATGCTGCTCTCCTGCGGCTCAGCGCTGTGCAGCAGGGAGGAGGAGGAGGGTAGAGAAACGGTGAGCTGCTGCAGGCTGCCTTGAGCATTTCTCCACCAGCTGTCAGCATTTCTCTTACTTTTCTAAGGTCGTGTTACATTTAAGTCGCAAAATTACCCCTCTTTCCAGATGCAAAGCACAAGAAATGGCAGAAGGCGGCTGTCTGCAGACACATTCAGCTCTCCCCAACTGCACTGGCCCTTCCTTCCATGCCGGCTGCCTGCACCTCTGGAATATCATAGATGCTAACAAAGCCAGGCCTGAAGGAACCACCAAGCTGTGTGCATCAAATAAAATTCCCATTGCCGGGAACAAGAGTGCCCTGTGCGTGTTACAGCACTGACTCCAGGGGAGCAGATATTTTCATCCACAGTCATCTGGAACAGAGCAGGGCAGGGACTCAGACTCGAGGCTGGGACCCTCTCCTTTTCGAGTAACATAAGTATTTATTCCCCTCTGCAAATCAGGGCTTTCCCACCCTTTCTCTTCAGTTATTTCCAAATTTCAGCCAAAAGTCACTGCCTCAAATTTTTCCTTCCCGTTTTACTGCCCAGAGCCAGGGATCAGCTGAGGTACCACGGCTACGGCCAGCACAGCCCGGACTCCACAGAGCAACAACCCACAGGGTAGAAATTTCTCCTATCAAGAGCAACCCTGGCACTTCAGTCTGAATTTAGACCCCAGCAAAAAGCTTTGCTTTTTCTACTAACGCACTGCTCGCTGGAGGATTTCTGTGCATTGCACTGTCGGAAGAGTTTCCCTGCAGCGACAGGCCGATTATTATTAACAGCCACTACAGGAGGAAGCTGGGACACAAAGAAATTACAAAACTGGTTTCCAGAACAGTGGCTGAGCAGCTCTCAGTACAAACCCCCGTCTCAAATGCATTCAAACAAGTCAGGCATTTCCCATGCGCTGCCCTGAAGATGCCCATTCAGCAGAAACATCAGCCCGTGTCCCCCTTCCTCCTCGCTCCATATCCCCCAGCTCTTGTGCTTCTGAATAAAACATAACTCCCCTCTCATAATTAACCAAAAAATCCCGACAGAGAGAGAAAAATCACGTTGCTCTGCAGGACCTGCCTGGGTCCTCACTGCCCTCAAGGACCTGAGCATCTGCTCGTGGCAGCATCTCCCAGATACGACCAGCAACGAGCTCACGTCCTCCACCAAAGAGCATCCCCAAGCCTGCCCACGCTCTGTAGGAACACCAGAAGCCCTGGGATGCTCCGTTTAAATCAACAGGCTGAAGACTTGCCAGCTCGGCTCAGGTGCTCTGTTCCCTTTTGATATGTGGTTCTCTGAGTCCTCTGCTCAGCTTTTGAGACAGACTGATTAAATCAGAGGGTGATTTAGGTGACTTTCCGGAGGGCATGTGGTTTAAAAAGAACAATAGCCCAAACAAACAACAGTAAAGAAAACCTTAGACTGGACCAGGAAGGCCACCTGGGCTGTGCACATCTTCCTTCGACCTCCTCAACCATTGCAGCAGGAGTTTTCAGAGGGGTAAACCATAACTTACAATCCAGAGGGACTTCGATGGTGCTGATGAGGTGCTGAAGGCAGAGAGCAAACGCTATTCCTGCGCAGGCGAGGTGGTGTCTTGGCATGACCATTTTGGACGCCTGGGCAGCGTTAGGACCTCCGTTGCGTCCCTCGAGGCGAGCAGACCAGCGGCACGCACGGACGGATCCTCAGCTGCAAAACGGACACAAACCCAGAGGTCACTGAGCCGTTTACAGCTCCAGTTCTGTCGTCTTCCTTTTCACAACTGTGGAGAGAGAGTGTTTCCAATCCAAAAAATATTTGTGCGGATGGACGGGGCTGTGAATAATGCCAGAAATAGTTTCCAGGCTCTGGTGACCCAGGTACAAGCCTGTGGTCGCTGTCCTCCCAACCCCGGGGTTCTTCTGCTGGCAGAAAATCGGCCTTATGGGGTTATTTGTGCTCAAACCCTGGTGAGACCTCTTGGATGGAAGGAGAAGGACCATACTCTCCCCTGGGACCGATGGAAAGTCCCTCAGAGCAACTGAATTCAAAAGCAGCAAACAGTCCCCAGAGGATAAAAGAAAAAGGATGATTTGCTGTTTAAAAAAAATAAGAATAATTGTAGTTTATGCATAAGAAATACCCAGCAAACACCCGCTGCCTCCGGCGGAGCACCGGGTTGAGCTCTGCCTCCATGTGCAGCCCGGCAATAGCAGGGAGCCGGCTCCGGAGATCCCCTCGCGTACCAAAGTGCCGGTCACCGACCCGGCACAGCTCGAGCAGGAGCCATGGCTCGGTGGGACCTTTCCCAGCTGGTCTCTAAACGAGCCCATTTCCAACTCAGCTCCAGATGTTTCCCTCCCCAGCCCATCCCTGGTGCCAGATGTGCAGCATGCTGCCGGGCACCCAAAGGCATCCATCCAAACTCCCGGGGACTATCAGGGTATCATTTGCATTTTCCATACCCATACCTTTTATTTTGCTGTTAATAAGCACATAGACCAAATGCAGATTAAAAAAAGAGCGAAAAGGATAAAATTATCCCACCTGTACAATAAAAGCCCCCTTAGAGAGGCTGCTGTGGTGCAGAGGGTGCATCACAGCTGAGTTACAACTCTCTGTAATAGAGTTATAAAAAGGGCATCAGCCATTCAGACAGCTCCCTCAGCTAAAAACAAAAATAACGCCAGGGCAGCAAACAGTGGAAAATCCCCAGCCTTGCTCCGTGCCGCTCCTCCCCGGCCCTCGCACAGGCGTTCGCCGAGGTGGGACATCGCCAGGCAGGGGACCAGCGCAGAGAGGCCATTTGGCAAGCAAGGAAAGCCCGTCTTCATGAAATATAAATCACCGGCTGCAGCTTTGGATGCTGCTGCCCCTTCTGCTGTTCCCGAGCCCCGTACGAAGGAAGTGTGGGAGGAAGGAGGGGGGGACCCAGCACAACAGACAAAACCCGGCGGGCGCGGGGCTGCCGGGGGGCTCCGGGTACCGCAGGGAACGCTGCTGGGAGCCAGCGAGGAGCAGATGTCACGGAAAACAAACAGCCCTCACACATGGCCCGGGAAGCTCTCCTGAAGCCCAGACAGGCTCAAACCCAGCCCAAGACAACTTTTTAAGGATGCTTTTCCCCAATACCCTTATGGGGTACAAGATAGGCTTAATGGTGTCTCCATCCATCCCTCCCCACTGCCCTGCTCGGGTGTGAGCGGGGTCTCCGGGTCCTCGCTCTTGGGCTGATGCCCGAAGAAACTCGCTGTCCCAGCGTGTCCCAGTTACACCAGATGACAGATTGCGGGTTGTGAAGGGGCTGGGAGGGGAGTGTTGCTCTGATCTTTTTCACTCGTTCTAAGGATTTTTCCAATCCAGCTGTTGCAATAAAAATAGTTGAAGGACAGAATAATTATAGGACTGGGCCAGTAATTAAAGTCATGTCTAGGACTTCCACAGTCCTGTGATCAGGTCATGCTGAACAAAGATTTTCAAATTACTTCTTTAGCTCTCTGTCTGAGGGAAGATATCATTTTGATCTGTAGCCTTCATTTTTAAAGCAGTTCATTTCTCCAGTTACAGCTTTAAAATGAGTAATGGATCAGCTGGTTTTATGCCTTCCTGTTACTAAGCACGCGTCTGACTTACGAACTGAATCAGCCAATACTGCAACCAGAGATTGAGCAAGGCTAAGGTTTCTAGTGCCCTTACCATGCTCACATATTGATGCTTCACATCACTATCACAAAATGCTTTAAACCCCTCTTCATTCACAGATGTAGTAAGGGAGGGAAGGTGCAAAACAACAGGCATTTAAATAGCGCACCTCTCTATGCGCTGCTTGGAGCCTGAAAAGCAAAGAATATGTTGTTTTCTTTAGACTGGGTACTAGTTAGTGTGAAAGAAATGGCCGTGATGCAAAGGAGTAGGTTCCTGGCACAGATGCTTGGGAGGGAGCTGTACATACATGCACTTTGCATTTAATGGGAATACAGCAAGGGCCGAGCCCAAGCACTGATCTATGGAGTGTACACAAGAGGCATCCTAACTGATGCAGAAGATCCCTAACCTGCTCTGGGACTGTAAAAGCAAGGGCTGTGCATATCACGAAAAGAGGAATTTGCAGATCACTTTTGAGCTGCAAAAGGGATCAGCAGGGACACCACGGCTCTGGACTGAAACCGTGGGCAGAGCTACGTGGGAACGTCCTGGGCACTTCCAGTGCCGGTGGACCGGCCGGGGAGGATGGTCTGTACGGTACGGGCGACCGCAAATCCACACGGAGCGGCACCGACCGAAAGAAAATAATAAAACCCACGACGGACCACCCACAAAATGCATCCTCGCCTTTAGAAGAGCGAACGCCAGGGCCCCTTTGTCTCGGGGCAGATGTGGGTGCGACTCGCCGTGCCCAGGAACAATCTGCCGCCGTGCCTGCGCGTGTAGGTGGGTGCTGGGGACAGGCGGTGCCACCAGCCCCCGGCCGCGCAGAACACAGCCCACATTGTCAGGGCTGCTCCTCGCCCGAGGACGGGGACGTCTCCCCCGCACAGAGGGGCACGAACATGCGTATCTGGGGATGCCGACAGTCGTGAAGCTGTCTGACGTCTTCATCTGCCATCAACCATCTGACTCAACCCAAAACGGCCCATGCAAAGGGGCAGATGAGACCTCTTCTTCCCAGACTTTGAATTTCTTAATCATTGCTCCTGGCTCCGTTGGGCAGCACAGAAAAGATCTGACTCCTGCCCAAAGAGCAGAATGAGCCCTCCAACCTCGTGTCGGCAGCTGCCTAACGGGATGGATGGCCAGAGCCACGGAGCTGGGCGGGTTCGGTCTGGGGATGCTCAAGAAGCCTCTGAGCTGGCTGGACCCAAAACCGATCTGAAATCTGGGCCCATAATGTTCAGTAAAAACACAATGCAGAGCAAAATCTCACACAAATAGTTGCAAGATTGTGACGCCATCAAATAGGACTTTAACTGCTTAAATCTATTTCTCATCCAGTGTTGAGCCTGCACCCGAGCGCCAACAAAAGCCACGTCCCTGCTCCACTTTCCTCCAGCTACAGGCAAGACAGCAATGAGACGGACTTGGATGCCTTTTTCCCCAAATACTTACTCAGAGGTCAGAAATGTTTTTCAGACTTGGTGCTTTCCATTTCCCCGATGACCTACTGCAACATCAGTTCTCACAAACTGTTAGTCTGGGTTGAGAAATACATCCCAGACCTTGGCCCAGACCTCCCTCCAGATGGATCAGATACTTTTGTAAATACATTTTTCTCTGGACAAAAGCATGAGTGACCCCAGGACAGGATCTTTAAAACTAGAGACTGCTCCTCTTGGCAAAATCCAGCCAAATATCCAGACAGCATGGAGCACATCTGAAATCAAGAGCTGGATGCGCAACCTTAACTCTGCTCCGTCCGGAGCCTCCCTTCCCTCTCTGAACAGGCACTGGAAGGAAAAAATTAAATGCAAGACCGACAAAAAAGGAACGGACACCTGGGGATGGCGGAGTCACCCATGCTGGGACGATTAGCCCCAGGGCTGAAAATACAGATGCTGGGACTCGATGGCAGCAGTGCCTGCCCTGGCTGAGGGCTGGGCGACCAGGATGGGAACTGAAGGGTTTGGAGAGGATTTGTGCTTCCTACAGAAGCATTAGCCACACTTTTTATTCTTGTGCAGTGGTGAGGACAAATCAGCTCGAAAGCCAAAGAAGTTTCCAGAAGGAAACATCTTGCCGTGCATAGGACATCCTGCATTACAAAACACACGGGGAGAGGACTGTATCGTGGCATCGTGGGGTTTCTCTTCTATTTTAAAGGCAGAGAGTGATTTTGTGGCATTGTCAAATATTTTCCAAACAAATCTGGATTTTCAAATGATGGCACAGCAAGTAAGTGACTGCCCCAAGGGCTGGCGGGGTCAAGAGGAGGCACAAAGAGTCAAGGGGTATAGGATGCTCACGTGGCCTGGCAAAGCGCGGCCCGAGGAGGCCCCGGAGCCCCCCGCCAGTGGGGACAAGCCCCCCACGACACCCTCTCCAAGAGGCACTGACGATCACGGCACCCACCAGGCAAACGTGCCTGGATTATCTGAAGAGCCATGTGGTGAACGGGATGCGGCTGAAATTATACCTGGCCCATACGCTGTTACAGGGTCATCACCCTGCTCTGCTGCAAGTTTCACACTCTCAGGTTTCTCCTTATGTAAAGACACCACTCACATACCAATAATTAAAACAGAAAACATATCCAAGCACTTTGTCTCTAAGCCACTCAAAATCCGCAGTGAAAGGGGAAGGGGAAAAAAAAAAAAAAAAAAAAAAAGAGCTTTTAAAATTCCTTCAGGTTCTTCTCCATCTCTTAAGAGCCCTGCTCCAGCACCAGGAGAGCTGCGGATGGTACCACGAGAGAAGGGTTTCTGAGCAGGCTCTGCCTCCTCCTTTCCCAGCTCCTCGGGGACGCCAAGCCAGCACAGCGGGCTACAGCGGGCTGGGCACCAGCCCGGCAGAGCTGCAAACCTTCATCACAGCCATCTAGAAGAAACTTTGAATCTCTCTTTCTCCATGCACACATTGATTTAACATGTATATTGCTTCTTCCCTGCCTTGAGATGGGGGAAATCTCTCCTTC